TTCAAAATATCTTAACGTTGAACATTGATTATGATAATTTACTTAAATGTTATTATATATGTATACGTCTGTGTATACCAGTGGATATCAAACTTTTTTTTAAACATTGTATACTATGTTCTTTACAAAATTTTTACGGCACATATCTCAGCCATACAATTTTTTAAGACCTATTTTTTAGGCCATGATTTTATTATTTACATAAATTAAATACACAAAATTGTACATTAATATAATGTTAATTATTATTACCTAATTATTATTATAAAGGTTCAATAGGTATCCAAGAAAACTTATCCTTATTTTCTTCCCATAAACTGTTGATTTATAAGTATATATATATCGCAGTTGCATAACGCATAAACGCATCTATTTTCAAATATCACAATTCCATATAATCTGTTACTTAAGGAAAAAAAAACTTTCAAAAGGTTTTGGTACGACTAGAGAATACTCGCGGCAATTTCAGTTTGAAAACCCACGGTGTATACGTTCATGTTTGAACAAAAATAATCGTGTTATTTTGAGTTTGGTATATGTTTCTGGTATGTTAAATGGCTCAATTGGACTTTTCCTGCTGTCTTACGGAGCGAGTAAGTGTCTATATATTAAAATACTGTAGAGTCTGTTGATAACGATGTTGGCTTGTATGGATAATTAATGAGTAAGAATGGTTTGTGAAAATTATAAGAAAATACGATTTTTCAATTTACTCTTTTCAATTTCATTAATGGTTTCTTGTTCACGCATACTGCATTGGTATATTTTATTTATTTATTTTGAGTTTAATACAAATTTTTTGACTGTCTATTATTTTTAGACAATTCTTTTACTGAAAAATTAGGCTTATTGTGTTGGACATGGAGTATTTTATTTTTTTTTTACGTTATTGATGGTATCATATTTTTTAACAACTAATCATTACACCCATATTGTGTGAGTTGTTTCTATGACCAAGGTATTTGATTTCAGTCTCAATACTAAAATCTGGATATTTCAAAATAGAAAGAGGACTTTATTATTTTGTAAAGAACTGAACTAGTTTATACATCTTAATTCTACCTTAAAATGCCATTTTTATTACTACATCTACATACACATTTATTTGAATAATTTTGTACCTACATAATAAAATACCATTTGACCAAACTTAACAAATAATATGAAAATTAAACGCAAGTTTTTTGAATATTAAATATATTTATTCACGTGTGTATATTATATCAATATACAATTAATGTAAGTTACGTTAGAAACTTATTTTCCACTCTTTAGTGTACATTATATATTGCACAATTTTCCCGCGAGAGACTATCTGCTGGCGCTCTATTTTAAAATGCTGGAATAAAAGTTTACATTGCGTAAAAGTTACTTTTTTTTAACAGTATGTGTTCATAATTTTTTCATTAAACACTTTATCTTAGTAAGAATGTATGTTTTATTTTTATTAAATAGTTAAGTCAGTGTTAAAAGTCTGAATAGAATTCGAACTTGCTCGAATAACGCTGAAATTATTATATACAAAAATAAAGTGTGTATAACAAGGCAAGTATTTTTTATTTATCTTTATTTTTGTTGAATGTCTAAAACCTTTTTTTTTCTTGTCGTAAATAAATAATATATTTATGGAAGTTAGTTTTTACCTTTAAGTAGAACTCAAATAATAACTTTCTTTAAATTTTATTTTTTTTTTGTATGTATTATAATTTTTGAAAAAAGAAATGATAGATTAAATGTATAATAAAGCTTTGAAATGTATATTTTTAATTTATTGCAGAATAAATAAGGTAAATTTAATTTCATACGAAAAAAAAATTTAATCTAAATAAATACGTACATACAAGTTGTATATAAACATGCAGTCTTTCGAAATTCAGGTTAGTCGAATTTCGCACGAAATACTTTTTTTTGACCAAAAAAATACTTAGACAAACAATTTTTTAATTTTTTAAATATATATATTCTAAAATGTGACATAGTCTTTATTTTTGAGGTTAAAGCGGTTACCTATTTTTGATTTTCAAGCGTTTATTAAACCTTTGATCAATAGTCGGAGTGTTAGTTTAAACACATTATTTTGTTAAAATTGTCGATTTTCGTCTACACGGTGATAAGATATTCCACTTTTAAGTTTAGGAAGGAGATATTTAGCTCGCGGCATTTTAATACATTTTCGCTACTCTCTCTTTACTTAAACTTAAAATTTAAATATATTATCAACGGGATGACAGATATCACAAATACCAACACCAATATTTATTTAAACTAATAATCCGTAGATTTATGAATTTCTTATTATAAGTTGTTATTTGAAAATCAAAAGTAAGTTGTCAATGCATGATTGCAAATAAGGGTGAAAAAAATAAGAACAATGCACTTTTTAGAATATAAATGATTTTAAAACGTTCTTAAATAAGTCATTTAACTAAAAAATAAGTAATTCATGGAAAATTTGACTTACCGTGAAGTTTGGAAGACTGTTGTCCTATTTTTGTTTTTTCTTTGAAAGATTATCATTATTAGTGAGACCATTTATTTTAATTAATAAAATGTTTAAATATCTATATAGTGGGTCCTACACATTTTGTAGTATGCCATTTAATTTCAGATATTAGTTGAATAATTTGTGTATGAAAGGAGACTCTTAATAAATAAAATAATTATTATCAATGACATGCCATAAACATTTTTAATATAATTGATGCTTGCTAATATTTCAGTATATTTTTTAAGTAATATTGTTTTATTATTTATTATTTATACTTTCTCATTATAATTTATAATAACTTAAATGTTTGTTTAGAAATAATAATAAATAATAATAATTGATTATACGTATAGGTACTATAATCCTGAAAATTTGCTTTATTGTTTTTTTTTATAATTAAATGTTATTAAAGAGGATTAATTTAGTGAGCATCAGTCCCTATGATGAACACTCCAATCAAAGTTTATTTGTAAAATAAAAAAAACCCATTTAAACACCCTCTATCAAATATAAAAATTATTTTTCTCTTCTCCTTTTGCTGAATAATATTCGGTTTAATTCATATACAACAGATATATATATAGGGGTGGAAAATCATTTGTGTTTGTTCATTGGACCATGTCGCGTTTTATTTTTCCAATTAAAACAATACTAATTAGCTTTAGGTTCCGTTTGGGTCACCGAATGAAGCCTTTCTGCCATGCTTTAATTTCACAGTGTTCACAACTTAGCCTTTGGTTTCTACACTATTTTAACCTGTTTATTATTTCGGGGAATATTCAACAAATCCTTTTAAATCCACTGCAATCTTAAGTTAAGTTTACTGTAATATTGTGGGGTTGTCGTAACAATAACAAACTATATTTAATTTTAACCGTTCGGGGAAACTGTTGGTTTTACAATGGTATATGTTTTTTTCTTTCTATTGTGTTGTTTTTCTACTTTTGGTATTGAATGTGTGATCTAAATTGCCCATATTCAACATATTAAATCCATTTTAAATTAAAACCATGTGTAATATTGAACCGTTCGATTTTGAGATATTGTTATAATATTATAACGATTACAAAAAATAAATAACTAAAAAAAATAGAACAACGGGATAATAATATTATTACGAATATATTATTACAATCTCGTGTGATCCATTATAATATTTACAATGTAAACAATAGAAATAGAACATTATTTTTAATTGAAAATTTACCAAATATTTTCCAGAATTAAATCTTGTGTTGGTATGTTACTTTATACAATATGTTTATATTTTGTTATATTTATGAAAATTGAATTTTTAATATTAACCTTTATACTACATTATGCATTTATATAGAGATTATTTTGTAAATGGAGTTTTTCCCATCAAAAAATAAATACATATTTTATGGTCATAAAAATATATAAAAATACGGTATACTTAAAATAGCAAATTAAAAATTATGTATAATATAAGTTAATCTAACTATCAGTATAATTATAAGTATAATTTAAAAAAAAAAAATAAATGTGTACTGTTTAAAGGTTTTACAGTACAAATGAAATATGGATCACAAAGACAATTTTATTTTGATTATGGCGGTTGGTCAATTTTTTTCTTCTGCTATTTGTATAATTTTGTGCTGCTTTGTTCTACTCACTAAAATGGTCAAAATAATAACCCATAAATACCACTGTAAAGTAGATTCCATTGAAAAATTTTATAAAGACATCAAATAAATTTCAAAAGTTATACATTAACTGCAAGGGAAATAACAGGATTAATTCGGGACAAATTTGAAAAAACCGAAACAAGGGAACAAAATGTAGAAATACGGAAATATCCCGTATAATATGAGATGCATTGTCATCCTACATATACAGGGTGATCAATCTTTCATAAGATACTAATTATCTCGAAAAGTATTAACTTTTTGGGAATTTGTTTTATAGAACATTTCAGAAACAAGGAGCTCTACAAATTTGCATGTATGTTGTTTGTCTGTCACCCTTATTTTCAGTGGTATAACAAAGAGCTACTTTTGATTTTCAATGAGCAACCTATATTAAATAAATATATAAATAGATGGAGTATTATTTATAATAATTTTGGTGTTGAAATTTTTGATTTCTATCAATTTGGATCAGGTGAGAGTAGTAGAGCATCATTTGTGTGGCAGCACGGCGCGCGGCGTTTTAATAATGCACCACTACTCTCCTCCTAAACCAAACTCAAAAGTGAAATGTTTCGTTAACGGATTGACGGAAATCAAAAATTTCAACACCAAGTTTTATTTTAACTAATACTCCATACATTTATATAACTTTTTTTATAAAGGTTTCTACTTGAAAATTAAAAGTAGTTAATGGTTTTACCACCAAAAATAAAAGTGACAAACAATAACATAAATGTAAAATTGTAGATTTACTTGTTTTTGAAATGTTTTTTAAAACAAATTCTGAAAAAAAGTTAACACTTTCTGTAATAATGAGTGTCTTAGGATAGATTGATTATTCTGTACATAAATTATTATTATGTAGGTAGTTTACAAAAAGACGGCATTTTAGTAAGAGTGGATATGATGACACCTAGGAAAATCAATGTTATTTTTGACTAGAATATTTATTAAAATATATTATTTTCGATGTGGGAAAATATAAGACTCTATTAAGCCTATGTTATAACTATATTACACTGAATTAGTGGACTTGGGTGACGAAAATGACGGATGGATATTTACTAACTGTACTCGGAATTTTGATTTTACCCAGGACAACGGTGGAACTGCAGATGGTCAAAAATACGTATTTTGAAGGAATATGAAATTGAGGGGATTTGAAAAAAGACATAGTGGGAACAACAGGTCCAAATAGTTGGGAATATTAAAAAATATATACTTATAGTATATGAATACATTTTAATTTACTTATGTTAAAAAAAAAAAAACATTTTGTATATAGTTATTTCAAAACAAACATTTAAACGAAGGTATTAGACTAAAGTCGTATAAAAATGTTATCCATCCGTGTGGAGAAAAAAAATATCTTCTCAATTTTCGGAAAAGGTCCATATAAAAATTCGGAAAATACAAATAAACAAACTGATTTTTGAACAGTATTTTAGTACGGTTTTTTGATCTTTTTCACTGTATAAATATACATACCTATCAACTTATTTATACTGCATAAGGTAATTTTTGTAAGACTCAACTTTTTAATATTATTTGAGAAAATCTTACCTAAATACATTTTATTTGAGTTTTTTTTTCAATCTTTGTGAAATCGTTTGGGGTTTCTATGAATAGTATATATTTACAAAAGCTTACTTTTATTTCTTTATGTTTAAAGGAACTATCAACTTTTGATTTTAAAACCTAAAGAAAGGGATATACTGATATAGTTTTATATTTTTATTAAACTACAAGATTTCTCTATTCGTCTGACATAAATTTTGAAAATAGAATAAATGTGAACTTTCAATGATTTAAAATGATTGATAAAAAAAATCGAAAATCCAATTTTCTTAATATATATTAATCATAATACTCTAGGTGACGCATTCGTTAATTAATTAATTTTATTTATATATATATATATACATTTTTTATCTATATATATATATATACATTTTTTATCTATATATATATATATATATATATATATATAATTACTATATTTATTTACTTTATATATTAATCATAAATACTCGATAGTTCAATTTTTAACTTAAAGATTTTGTTTACATGCTATGCATAATATTAAAATTATACACAAAATACACTTTTCGTAGTTAGTAGTTAGTTATATTATATTTCAGTCATTTGAATAAAACTTGATTTTAATTAAAACTAGTTGGTCGTAGTTATCATACATGAAATGAAAGAGCTTTATTTTCGAAGGTCGAATGAATATTAAAATAGACTCGTATAGTTGATCGGATCACATTATTATTATAATCGTCCTGAGGGTTTGCGAATTATGAATATATCATAGATTTACTAATGAACGTGAAATTGACTTGTGGTAATATAAATCATGCCACTCACCGTGGATCACAAAATTCAATTTTTTATACTTGACTGATAGTAATTTTCATCATAAACTTTCAATCAATAGATTGCGATTTTAGATGATATTATTTAAAAATAACCTGCCAATGATTTGATTTCTAGTTATTTTCCTGCTATTCGAACCGACATACTATTTGATTATCGACAATATAAACTAACGACAAAAATATCAAGTATTTACATGTAATCTAAAATTCTAAAACATTGATCATGAGTTGATATGTTCGATTGTTGTGTGGATATAATTTAATTTTTTTATTTAACGTATACTAATATACATTCAAATCATACATATTTATTGGAATTTATTTTTAAATATATTTTTAATAGGTAACTACTGGAACTATCATAATACGTCATGTATAACGATCTTTAAGTTTTTTGACGGTTGTATATTTAAAAACAGGTTATTGTGTTGACTTCTACTCGTAAGATAAAAACAGTCAGGTGGGTCTGTATTAATTTATATTTGTAGTTTGAAATAAAGTAAAACAATAGAATATAACTCGTTATTACGTCATAATTTAAACGTAGGTGGTATTAGAACTTCGTGGCAAGGCCTCTGCCGCAGGGGAAACAACTCAATATTTTAATTTAGTCCAAGGGGTGAGTGTGGGTGACGATCACTTTGTCAAACCTCTTAAATCCACCACCAGTAAATAGAACATTTATAGTTTTATATTTACGAAGTAGAAATATGTAGTCTAGTTAAGATAGTTTTAAGTCAACATTTTTTGTTAAAATATAATTGAAAAGGTTAAATTACTCAGAAGAAATAGAATATATTATGTTTAATAATAAATACGAGTTATTGTGTTGATTACGTATAAGTTATTTGTTATTTATGTTATTATACTTACTCATATCTAGTATTATTAACTAATAAGTTTACGACACAAACATTCACAAATAGAAATTAAAACCAATACAACTAATAACTACTTGAATTGATTGTAATTTAATTTAAAATTGATATAAACTTATAATTGAAAATAGAGATAGAGAAAAACAATTAACCTGTCTATTCTGCTTTTCGCTGGTTATTATTTGTCTCCAACCGTATTTTTTCTATACATATGTATCTTATTTATCTATACATACGTATAATATACCTTATTATATTCAAAATGAGCAATGTATACAGAACAACCTATTAAACAATACAGTTAATGTAATGAAAATTAATAACGACAGATACCTAATAATAAATAATAATAATAAATATAATATTAAACAATTATATTTAAAAAAAAAAATGTATAATGCATATGTAATTATGTTACCATAATATAACATATATATTGTTAACAAAGCAATACTATCAAACGAACTTCTTTCAGAATTGTTTTTTCGTTAGCAATGGTTAGTCGTTGCTTACAAATATACATTAAATTTCTCTTCTACCTTCCCAACTTCTTACAATGTTACCTATACAACAGTGGCCCGTTGTTTTGTTCCGGAAGAATAATCCTAAATTTATACATCTACATCATTTACATTATTTTTTTTAATATTTATAATTATAAAATATATTCTTTTGTAATTTTCAATATTAATACATTTTTTTCGATATTTACATATTTTGGATTTTGTGTGTATTCTATTTTTAAGAAAAAAGGTACAAATATTGATTTTTTTTATTAAAATAAAATCTGTTCCCCACAGATGATAATATTTTGAGAGGGAACAGTTGGTAACAATGAAATATTTTGTCTGGCCCCTAATTAGTTTTCCAAAAACTGTAGCAATATCTGATACTGCAGTAGGTAATATGACTAATAAATATTGTATAATGATAACAAAATTTAGTTAACAAAACTAAATTTGTGATAACAAAATCACATAATTTAGTTTTACACCCAAAATATGTATTATCATTACGATAACACTATTTGTGTATTTTAACAAATATGTATTATTTTGTAAAAAGTAAAATAGATTTTGTACAATTTTCACAAATTAATTATTTAATTTAATAAAGAGCGAGAAAAATAAAAAAAATACTAATTAAGGCCAAAGTCGTTAATGGTGAACTAATCAATTTCATTTAATTTTGTAATAAACTCGAAATAACTATTAAAAAAATAGTCTTTATGAATTCCCCCATTTTAACATAAGAGTTTATTTTTTATTTTTTAATTATTTTGAATTTATTACAGTTTATCGAAGCATTAATCTTAAACGAAGTTTTGATGATGGCCAATAATTGACATAAGATATAGATAATATTTTCCTTAGCCAATATGAACTTACGATTCGGCCACGTTATATTCACATTGCGAGCGGTAGCACCGTGAAAAAAAATAATAAAGGACGAGAAAAAAAACTTTTAAAATTAAACTCACAACTAAGAATACAAACGACTGTTTGGACTGACCGTTTCCTATACGAAGTAAACAATGTGGAACTATTGTGTTAAGATTTAATGCTATTTCACCACGTACAGTATATCCCTACCTCCATGTATATTAGCCACGTATTTTCTTTATCTGGTTTATGAAAGCGATCAATAATAAGCAGTTTTTAGAAAAATCGACGAACTACTTAATAGGAAAATAGTATTATATTTTATCGGTACCATTCGTTCAATACTATGTAAACATATTGTATCTCACCGTTATTGTTTTTTTCATAATGTAAACACTACAATGTACAGTGATGCGTTATCAAATGGCAACACGAAATAGCTGGATGGTTTCAAATTGAAATGGTTTTTCTAGGAAAATCGAGGGTAAGGATCAAAAAACACATATTGAGGCTATTTTTAATGAACCTAGTGTCATGAAATATTCAATACCCATGCACGATTTAACCTAGATTATCTTAAATGAAAAATCATCTATTTTTAGCATCAGATAATAAATTGAAGATGGCTGCATCTAGAGTAATTTTTGAGATAGAAAAAAATTGCATTAGTTAATGTTGTTGGAAAAAAATTATACTATTTTAATTTTGATCCTAAAAATAAAAACCCTAGGATAATGGGGATTGGTGCAGCCACTGTTATATGTGAGAAGTGGTGGAAAAAGTAGTAGAGGAGAAATTTAATGTATGCGACGATAAACCATTGCTAACGAAAATACGATTCTGAGCGGAGTTCGGTTAGTGCTGTTTTGTCAACATTATACATGTCATATTAGGATAAATAATTACATATTTTTTTTAATAATATTTGATTAATATTGTACCTATTTTCCTGGCTTTTCTACGTTTTTTCACCGTTTTCTCGTGCTTTACCCTGTTTTCCTATTTATCGAGTTTACATATTTTGTACATTATATTACGAAATTGAAAATTTAAATGTTAACCTTTTTGATTTATTCAAAACTGTATACTACTATATGAATTTACCTAAGTATGTTATAAACATTGTGTAAATAAGGATAATGCGGTTAAACGAAATTTTGTTTTTACCATTTTAGAATTTATAAAAATTATATAATATATATATTTTTAAAATTGTTACTATCATATATTATTTTAGAAATAATACTTTTCATAAGCAACACCACAAGTAAAATTTTATGTTAAAAACAAAAAATGATTATAGTTTGAAACTATATAAATACTTATTCCTAGTTTAATTCAAATGCTATAAACGTGAGCGAGTCTCGTATAATATTATATTTTGGTCGGCAATAAATATATTATGTATTAATATGTACCCTAATAATTTTGTTTTATTACGAGTATAATATTTCACGAAATAAAATTATATATATATACGAAATGAAGAGCGAAATAATTGTGTTTAAGAATATTGTATTTAGTAAAAGTTCTGTTTTCGTATGCATACGTTTTTTAATAATACAGAAATAATATTTAAAAAAGATACATAAATATATATATATATACACAAACATCTACAATATTATGGTTTTATATTTATTAAAATTCGTCTGTTTTTTTTTCTACTTTTTTATTATACAACTTAATAACGCGTCTAAGAATGTACCTAATATTTTTAATTTCGTTGTTTCTATAGGGTATATTATCTGCAGTTAGCATTAATAACTATTGTGTCCATATCGATAGCATTTTGTCAAACGGTCGCTTACCCCAATGGTGATGACGTCGAATTATATTCTAATTTCGCTTATAATAAAACGTGGAATTTTACACGTGTTTTCAGTTTTTCTGTTCACCGAACGGAGAAATTACTTCTTTTAAATGTTGTATATATTATATTCAAATATTCAATTTCTTATCTATATACATGACATATTTCGTTCCTATATACTCATTGTACCCAAAAAAAAAAAACATACATTCTAAAACTAATAGCCTCTATAATTGAAATTTCTTTTTTTTTTACACATACATAAAGCCTTTTTGTGAATATGTAACTAGTACTAAAAATCATTATTTTCACTGTCACCAGAAAATTACTGTGTAATGCGGTCGTGTAAATCATTATAATATTACTTGCGTCTACCATTATAATCAAGACGCAAAGTGCCTAGTTTTTTTTTAAGTCTTCCGTTATTCCCGGTGACATTACATTCATCCTTGGCAGTTTTTGATTTGTTTGTAAACATAATCGTACAGTCATTTCGTGATAGTCTTGACTCATGAATTATTTCATTTTTGACGCTCAAAGTGAATGAACTTTCAGGTAGAATTAAGTTCTTGATAGTTTTTCTGGTACCTTCGATAGTAGCACAGTAAGCAGTTCTCCTTTAAAACAAATATCGATAATGTCTTATGATGATTGTGCACTTAATGTAGTATTTTTAAAATTTGGATGACTTTAAATTTGGGAGAGGAGTGTTAATATTTAAACAAATAATACGCCTATGACAGCTATCCAGTAAAACTTATATTATTTTAGTCGACAGGTACACAAACTTAAAATATACCTATTTTAGTATTAATCCACTAAAAATATAATAGCTGAAAATTGCAGGAGTGCCAATATTTATAGAGTAAGTATATACTTAAGAGCCTATATAGAATATATAGTAAGTTAAAGCCTGAGATATCACTATATTGAATGAACCACTATTTCGTTAATACTCTGATAGTGTGTACTTTATATTATAAAATATTATTTTAATATTATATACATTATTGAGGCTATCACTGCACATATTTAATTTCTAGTTATCCATCTTATCTATATAATCCTGGTCGTGGTACTTATGATTAAAATATTAAATACTACAGGTTATTACATTCGATGTGACTACCGTTACACAAAAAAATTGCTGTTTAAGGGGACATTACCATAATCTCTTTAGTGATACCTATATGTGATATATAGGTTATATTAGAAAAAGCGTATCTTATTGAAATATAGATTAATTAAGTACAACACTGTTTTGAAAGTCAAGAATATAGAAAAATAAATAGAAAGAAAATATAGTCCGCAATATCATTTAATTTATTAAAATTAACAAAGCTAAATTAATTGTGCTCAAAATAATACAATTATAAAGATATACGAAAAATAAACTAAAAAAAACCAAATCAATCACAACTATATTTTATTATTACACTGTTAATTTTAGTCCAAAAAAAAATTATAAAAATGCGAGTATATGAAAACTCAATTTTAAACTATGGTCGAAAAATGTATACGGAAAATTTTCCAAATTGATTTCAACGGAAAAACGTGCGTTTTGTGGTTTTCAGCATCCAACGAGTGGTGTGCGAAAACGCCCCCGGACGTATGCCAATTATTTGAGTGTTTGCCACAGTCGAAAATCAAAAATATCCCTGGGCTCGTTAAACAGCATATAATATTATATCTTTTCGAGAGAAATCATGTGCGCCGATTATTTTAAATGACCCAAAAAGAGAGAAAAAAAAATCTGGCGCGCATACCACTCGATATACGGTCTCCGGTGGCGGTCGCGGTTTACGACTGCCTGACTTTTTTTTAACGGTGATAAAAATCGGTGCGCGATTTACGACGGGGAAAAAAGAAAGGTTATTCGGGTGCACTTTACAGTAGTGGCCGGTAAATAATAACCCGCCGTAAGTTCGACTCGTGATGTTCGTTTCGATACTTTAGAGTGTGTTTACGATTACAAAAATAACGATTTTAATATATACAATTGCAATGCGTATAAATACTGCAACGCTATTATTACACAGTGGTTAGTGACGCCGGATAGGTCGTAATATTCGATGTTAGGTCACGTTTTGGTAAAATGCCAATGAGCGTGGTATTAGATTTTATTATTTTTAATGATTTAACAGAAAGTGCATAATAATATTGTTGGAAATTTGAAAGTGATAAATTACTATAGGTACGTTCATATAGCAATAGTATAAAATAGTTTATACCACGGAATAATAATAGGTATATTGCGCCGCTTATCAATCGATTTAAAATGTGACATTCACTCCTAGTATTTGTTTTTCCAAAGACGACCAAGAAAAAACCGCCGATCTAACGGCGTACGTAGACCCTTTTTATAGCCACAGAGGGGTGAAATATATCTTCTTTTTTTCGTCCAAGCAAAAACAATTTATCTCACTACCTCCTCCATATACAATACCTACGACAACGCTTTAAAAATGTAATATTGTAATAGTAATATAAATATTTAACGAGATTGATTCGAAATAAGAAAGGTAATAATACATGCAAGTCTTTACACATTATGAAAGTAGATAACTTTTTAATGTATCGAGTATGCATTAATATATTGTACATTTTGTAGTCTAATGGGAATTTTTATTTATTCATTTTTAATATACCTAAAGATAATCTCGCGACGAAATATCACAATTAATGTGTAGGCAACTAGATACTATGAGTCTGCACGAAACATAAACAAAACATTCTATTAAACACCAATTCTTTCTGTATAATATATTATAAAAAAAAAATGTACTTTGACACCCCGAAAGGAGGATTCGAATCAGGAAGTACGCCCTTTTTCGACGCTCTACTTATGTTAGAATAATAGTATAGTGAGTAAATGGTTTTGGTAATTCTCTGTATGGTAGTAAGACTTGCCATAATAGTATGTATACAATTTAATTACTATTCATGAGTTACTTATTTATAATACAAGACCGGTGTTGATTTTAAGAGGGTAATACAATTAGGGAAATTGATCTACCTCTTGACATTTTTTTGAATCGTTTTCACTATCGTAATTACCATACATTTATATATTAATACTCTATGCTTCCTTTTGGCTAAACAAATTATGGATTGAAGGAAGTACAATATTACGATTTATAAACTGTTTGTATAATATAGTTTTTGCTTATAAAGTGGTCACACGGGTCTGAGGTACTATTCGGCATTTTATTAGCATTTCAGAGTAATCCTTTATACTACTTTTGAGTACACCATCTGGTTTTATATTATTATATATAATTTTAGAGTAGATTAAATAATAATATAAATTACTTTCCAAAAAAATATACATTTAATATTTCTCATTTTCTAATTTTTTTTTTTGATTAAGACGTTACTCAATACAACATTATTTTGAAATTTTATAAATCCCTCCTAGCAGACAATCCTAAATACGCTACTGTATAGTCGTATAGGCCGTAAGGAGTTATGCATTGATTAGTAAAAAAATTAGAAAAAAAAATTTCAGTCGACTGGGTACAAGTTAGTTACCGATAAAGTTTACAATTACAATTATACTAATATTGCTTAGAAATTATCGAATTTAATAGTCACGACGAGCAATTAAAATACATTTTAAAAATAACTGTTACCTATATTATTATAATAATATTACATTCACTCGTATTTCGTGTGCTGGTTTAAACGGGATAGGAATTCTATTCGATTCGACAGTATAAGTCGCCGGTTAAGTTGTTCGAGCGCAAGAAGAAAATCTATCGTCGTGATTATATATACGCCGTACAAATGTATGGTTAGGGATTTTCCGCGATTTAGACGCTTATAATCTCGTATACTGTGTGAACCAGGTATTACTGCCACCGAATTATACAGACGGATTAAAACATGTGGAAGACGGATCAATATAGGTTTGAAAAAAAAAAATAAAGTAGTGTAGTTTTCCGAGTTCTGTATATAAACGGACGTATCTGATCGTTTCGTTGTAAAAATATATAATGTCTACCCTGGAAATTAGTGATTAGCTTAAAGACCTAGGTAACCTACTAGGTATTATTGTGAACTGCGTCTCGAGTAAAAATTAATCAGAAAACATCTGATAACCAAAAAGAGGTATTTCGGAAGAAAATGAAGAAATATATATTGATTTTTTTCGTAAAAAGAATCGGTTTCTTGATTAAATAATCATATCCATAATATCAATAATATCTTATTATATAGGCGGCTAAACAAAAATCAAAAATATGACCTATGACATGATACCCGAAAAAATCACTCCAGGTGAGAAAAGTTATAATTTAGTATTTCTATATATGGGGAAAATGAAAATAATCAAATATTTAAATTTCAAATTCAGAAAGATGTTAAACCTTATTTTCTAAGATTTTTAAAAATGTATTATCTGATAGTTGACCTGTGGTTCGCTGAGAGTGTTGTATGTTATTTAAACAGCTATTTTTGAATACTAGTTTACGAGTTATTATGCCATATTCCGCATAGATTAGATTGACCAAATTGTACCTATATATTGAATTTTGAATAATTTTTTGTACTTTATCTACTATGATATAATTATTTATGATAAATCAATTTATCAAATATCAATATCAAAATATCTTCTTGATATTCTGGTGTTAGGGAAAGAGTGCAAGACGGTGTGGAGTTCGATGGATCTATCGATCTATCGATAGATTATGGTTTAGCTTCGTAAATATTGGTGCATACACGTTATATATATTAGGACGATAAAACTATATCGTTAGATTAGACGTCAGATTCGATTAAGCAATTATTTTACACCAATCATTTGTCCAATTTTAAATAATATTTAACTGATTGTTAGTAGAATATTGAAAATTAAATATGGTAATTTTAACTTTAAACCATTTCAAAGAAAGCTAGGGTAAATATAGCGGTAGGTAACAGTAAAAATCGTTAATGTATAGATTCTCAGAAAAATAAAACAATAGATGAGGAGCGTACAAATAATTTTATAAATTAAAATGAAAAAACCGTGTTAAGTAATAAAAAATGTAAAAAATTAAATTAACTTTTCAGCTAGTTACTATACTGCAATGGCGTTAAAAAAAAAAAAAAAATTAAAAATTAACTTAGTTTTAATGGTACAATAATTCCACTACGATTTTTATATTAGAAACTTTTGCACCGCGTTTACTTGACGGAGTACGTTAGTGATGCTTCCGTTGTTGTTACCGTCGTGAAATCGGTGGTCACGTATTTTTGTTATACTAGTATTATATATGTATCACATCTACTTCGAGTACTCGATCTTTTCACGTGAGTTTCGCTCTATACGAAAAGTATCCATGTAATGACATATTCATCATCCGGGTACAGGCTATATTGTTCACTCGGTCTCGGGGTTTTTTTTTTCTACATAACTATATTACACTAGAAGTTGTTGAATTGAGTCTATAACTGGCAGATAATCACACACCCGTTTGGTGATTTTCAGTATAAAATATTACCCAGTGAACCGTCGCGTCGAATAGACAGTTAATAATTTATACACGGTCACGCGTTGGTTACTACCCAAAGTAAATGATATTATTACAAATTTGTTTATTATTATTACTACAACTACTAATATTATTTATACATTTTCACGTGTAGTCTACAAATCGTTATACCCTACTTTCGCCATAGGAATTCCCACCCCCTCCCCCCCGGTCTTAAATCGTATTTAATATAAAGAGAATATTATTGCACATTTTAAATATTTTATAAATGCAAACGTTTCAATAATTTATAACTTCAAGAAATTTAATAAAATGATTGTTCATATTACAAATATCACTAAGTATACAATATATATTATGATATATATAGTGTATATCTAGGTGTAATTAGCGAAAAAATAAAACTATGCAAATTTGAGTATTGTAATAGTGTATGATCTAGTTTTTCACCGATTAGACTGAAAATCAACGAAGATTTTCATTAGAGTTTAAGTAATTTTTTAGTGAAAACCGTTTTCCCAAATTTACAACCGTATGAGAGATAGAACGTATACGGACAAATTAATAAAGTATTTTACGTTATAGTTAATAAAAATCACTGTTCTAAAAAAAAAAAAAAACAAACAATATATTTATTTTTGTATAATGTAAAATGTTAAAATAACCAACAGTTTAAAATATGTCTATTGAAAGAAATTTAAAACCTAATTACTATTAAATATTTAAAATATTTTCTTTTGGTAAATCGCTTAACAAGGAATAATATAATGGAACACTAAATAATAAATTACAAATTAGCGAACGATTTGAACTAAAAAAAAACACAAATTAATTTTTTTTTAATTCCAAATATTGTATACATAAAATGAGTGTATTCTAAATAATTCGATTACAGTGAAATGTTAAATTATATTGAAATGTTTTAGTGACTTATTACAGTGTTGATGCTTAGATTTGTCGACTTCTAAAAATACACGACTGAGAGTTCAATTGTTTCTCGGGAACTTTGGTAACAGTCAAATGCGGACATAGTGGGTATATAATTAGTCACATTTACCGATACTATTAATCGATAAAAACGGAACCGGGAAAATATTCCGTCCAACTACTCGGGTCGTACATTTCGCTTATTGAAATGGTACATTTTCTGTTACCGTCGATAATCACACGCAGACGATTTTAGACGGCCGTCTGTCAACTTAAGACACACCACTCCCTCCTCCCTCTACAATATGACACGTTCGTTTATTTTGTCAAATCGTATTTCGACAAACAACTATTAAATCAGTTGACTAATAATAATTATTAAATATAACGGAATAGACATTACAATGAATTATAATGTCATTATAATGATGATTTGTTTGGCATCTTTCATCGTATTTATCCGTCCTACATTTTAGTTTCGAGTAATCGAGCACACAAACAAATTATTGATCACGATAGATATTACAGGATACCGTAAGCCGATTTGTGTACAATTCATTACAGTTATTCCGAGCGAGTAAGTACGCGTCCAAAATGTAGTATAATTAAACAAATTTACTTTCGAAAATCGTCCTCATCTTATTTGTTATTGGTCATTTAGATTTTAGACTAACTTTCTGATTCTGAAACAAATTTGTCGCCATCTATCTCTATTTAATGCTACTTCTTGCTAATTTATTCCTATAATAATTAATTCCTAATAATAATTTTCTATAATATTGATCATTTTTAACACGTTCTTCCCATTTCTCATCTTTCTAATGCTTAAAGATCTTTCCCCTAAACAGATATGATTTAATGAACAATTTTATCGATGTACCATATATTACAGTTAGTGTATCCAGTTAACGTAACTGGGTGCATTAGCCTTCTTTTCATAATTTATAAAGATTGCTCAAGGATAGGAGTAAATATAAGACTAAAAATGAAAAATACACGTTACGCCTAAGAAATATGCTTAGTTCAACTTGTTCAAGGGTCTATATACAAAAATACAAAATTCAATTATATATGGCTTTGAGAAAAAAATGAGACTAGCAGTTTTTGTGTGAATAATTTCAACAAGAATTTGAGGTCCACATATTGAAGCTGTACAAGAATAACAGAGAATACATTACAATGATGAGTTGAGGAGTATTTTATAATATATATTTTCAGATTAATATTTTATTCAGTTGGTAGTAGCTTATAGTTTTGGGAGACTTGGCAGATATGAAAAAAATGTGATTTTTTCGCAAACGGATCATTGTAGTAGTTGTTTTAAAATATTTATCGTATGCGATTTCTTCCAGAGTTGATCCTCAAGCGCCGAACGATCTTGGGCGGGTTACACTCTATAAATAATTTGATGGTTATTTTCGTTCTAAAATAGAAATACTTACGAAAGAGTCAATCGCTGTCGGCGTTATTTTTAAGCATTTTTCCGCTGCGTGATATTGGTTCGTTGGGACAAAATATAGTTGCGTTCCGTCGGTTTTTTCAGAAACGTAGGCGTGTGCAGATATAATACCATGCTCTAGGGGGTAGTCGCGTATATACCTATACTTAAGTCCTCTCCCTAACGACCGATTTCACCCCTTTTTCGCTTTATTACTATGTCCCGGAAATCCTCGGAAGTCGCTCACTGAACCCTCCTATCAAAGAAAACAAAAAAAAAATAATAAGTATCTATTAAACATAAATTACGACATAGTTTGCATGAAACACAATAGATAATATCCTAAATTTTACAATTAAAAACATTTATAATACCATAATAATATTTACTGTAATTTATTATTAAGACTCATTTACCATGTACTATACACTTTTTCCTATCGTCTTAATTGTACCGACCTTTTATAAATTTACAAATAAACGCTTGTTTAAATATCTGGTGTCTTTATGTACTTTTAATAAAATTAAATGTTTTAATGTAATAAGGTAATTGTTTTTAATTTTTAATCTTAGAAAAAAAGTGCTAGTATACCTATCCGATACTGTTTTAAATCTAATTAAAGAAAAAACAATTTTAATTCAATTTTCAAATACTAAGCTTTTGTTTTCAAATTTTTTGTGGCAGTTAAAGGACCAACATGGTTTTAATTAGAGCTATCTCATTAGAAATTAAACATTTGTTAAGTACCATATGAAAATTTAAAGTATTCTCTATATGATAAAATAAAACGTACGAATTAAATACCACTATATTATATCTTTATGATTTAGGAGCCCTACATATTATACGCGTTAAATATTGATTTTATTTTCTAGTGAGTATAAAAACACATTAATATTTTATTGGAAAATATAAACATTTTCTATATGCACGACATTATTTTTAAGTTTAAAATATTTAGATCCTTGTCGTTTCATTGCACCATAACAATATGTTACTTTAAATATTGTCGAGGGACGTAAAGAGCAATATTTTCCCTTTACTACCCTTTTTAATGTCAATATAATAATAGTAGGGCATATTATAAAAGCTTGATGGTTTTTCAATCCAATAGTAACCTAAGCTCGTGGTAATACAATTACCTCTTTAAAGCACTGGTATAATTAATTCACGAAAAAAGGAGTTAAACGTAAAATCACAGCTGCAGAATTATTTCTTCAAATCCTTATTTGTCAGTAATACTGGAAACTCGGTTTTTATTATAATTGGTGAAAATTACGAAAAGTATTATTTTAAATTTTTTTTTTTTTTTTGCTGTAATCCAGTTAATAATATTCATAAATAATAAAATAATAAAGTAAAACGAATATTATTAAAATGGTTAATACTCGTAAATAAATATATAAACAAAACATTTATATATAGAAATAAAAAATAAATAAATTAATAAATGCGTCACCTGAAGTATTATGATAAGTACGATTAAACGTAAATTATACGACCGGTTTCGAATTAAAAATTCGTAATCACGTATATCATAGTCAAAATATAAAACGCGACTCATAACACTTCAGGTGACGCATTCATTAATTAATTATTTTTTATTTCTATATTTCGATTTTTTATTTATATATTTATTTAATATATTTAATAATATTCGTTAAAACTTTAAATGTTGACAGAAAACTTAAATTTGCTTTTTCTAGGCGTGGTAAAAGCTTTTTGAGATAAATGTTTTGAGCTATTTATAGACATTCTAATTTTGCGAGTTTTTTTACATAATTTTTATTTTTAGGTGAGAAGTGATTACATAATTTTCTCATTTACAATATTAAGTAGGATACTTATCTAGTTTTTTTATTTGGCAAAAATTATTAAGTTAATGTGTACAGTGCATGGTATTAGTTGAGACGACGACGGTGAATCACTTTCAAATATAAAACATCGTACGGAACCCGTTCGCATTAATTAACTCTGCTGTTTAAACAAATATTTGCCGAAATGTTTGCTTGTTTTTAATATGAGTGAAAACAGACTTAACGGAGTTGTGTTATTTTAGTTGTTGATGGCGAAGGTATAGATCCAGACATTCGCAAGGGTTATGGCGTCCCCTTGATAGAACCCGAGTTTATAAATAATACAATGACATCGACGTGTTCGCTATGGGCCACGTGTTAGAATGTGTTTTGTATCTCGCGTACGAGAGAGCCTTAAACTAATTTAAATGTCAAATAAAAATACTTGGTAACAATATGATATTTAAGTTCGGTATTTTTTCCATTGTAACAAACGTTTTTACGAATAATGCATATAAATTATTTGTTCGAAATTAATTAGTGTAATATTAATATTAATAATGTGAACAAATCACAGAGATTATGAACTTATTCTTAAAAATTAATGTTTTTTTTTTATAAATTAATTAATTTGCCTTCATGGAACGAAAACTACACTTGGGAATAAGCTATATCTATATTGATAATAGTTTAATTTTATTATTACATTTTTTCATTAATAAATGAAGATTTCAATACCTCCACATCTTAGCCAGGTTATGGTTTTCATACAAATTTTAACAGGGGTAATATCCGGAATTTTGTTTATAAATTTTTTTGAGATTAAAATCGAGCTAAATGATAATATATACATTTATTTATTTGCCGTTTAATTTGTTTGTGTATGTTAAAAAAATAGCCACATGTTTAATAAGACCATTTCTGTTAATTTACATAATTAAAAATAAAACCAAATGGAATTTTCAACTTATAGTTTTATTTCCCGTGCCTATACAAATAATACACAATTTTCAGTTACAGCTTTATATTATAGTAATTTATAGTGATTAGTATACATTTAAACTTTCATACTCTTGATTTCTATACCATCGTGTATATACCGATGATATACACCAATACCTTGCATTATGTGAGGTATAGTTCGCTTCTAAAGACTTAAAGTTTGTGTAAATTTACACAAAAATTATTAATGTTTCTTTTTGTTTGTATATAATTATTGATTTTTTCTTTTTTTTTTTTATAATTACTGTTTCTGATTTTTGAATTTTATACCTATTATTGTAACTTTAAATTTCTACAAGAGATTATTTTTTTTTAAAAAAATATGTTGATTCATTAATTATAATAATTCACCTGGAAGGAATACGGTGGAATGTAACATTATTGTTTAATACTTTCACAGATTACGCTTCTCTTCTCCGAAAATCGAAAGTTATAATAAATACCTATGTATTGTCTAACTTCAAAATTTCAGTAATATAATATCTTGATAAAATTTAAAATTCAGCATAAAAGTGGAAGAATATCATGAATTTTGAAAACCATGATATACTTGATAGTTTTTAAAATAATAAGAAAAAAAAACTTAAAATAAATTTGTATCGTGATTTTTTATTTGCTATATATTTATTGATATATATTTTATTCCTTGGAAATCGTCAAAGAGTACATTAATTAGTTTCAGTTATATCTATTGAGTTTAATTAAAACGCATAATTTACGTTTTAACATTTAAATAAAATCATTTTGATAGTTTATCTTATTGACAAAACGCATCAACACGTACATATGATAAGGAATTACCAAAGGAATAATAATGTACTCAGTAAGAAGACAATTTATTCATAATATCATTATAAAACCGGAAAATCTTACCTGATGTTACGGGAGACTGTATAATCAGAGGTTAGACATTCCGTACTTTTTCTTGGCTACATATAAATGGGTGACCTCAAGTTATCTGAAACTTGATAAATGTCCTTTGAAATCGCATGTTATAAATATAATGTTGATTGGCAACTACTGACTATTAGTTTTATATCAATACTGTCAATTCGGACATTTGTGTAACTTGGGGTACCAATCATCAAGTTGGTTAACGGGTCCTACTTCAGATTACAGGTAATCAAAAATTGATCAGCTGATCGAGTGTCCATTTTATATTGGTCTTTGGTAAAATATGTCTCAGTTGTATAGCACAATCAGTTACTTGAGTACAGCTCGATTCGGAAAATCATTTTAATATATTAACAGACAAAAGTCTGATTAATCAATGACTATAAATACATTAAGTTCTATTCCCTACCCCCCGAAAAAATACCCAAAGAATAGAAATGTTTTTTTTATTTAGTGGGGTAATCACTGCCAATGGTCGCCCCTACCGGGTTTTTTAGTCTGTGCTTTTATAGTGAGACACAGGCGATTATTACTACGGTTAATTGTTACAATGGCTAAATGAACAAACACGTTAGAAAAATAACGTGCGTCGAAACTGGCGTCACTTATATTGAATCGTGGACAATTTGTTCAGTTCCACAAAATAAACGGGGTATATATAGGAGGGGAAATTGGTCGGGTACAAATGTTTGTGTTCCCGTTCAAAAACCGATATGACGTGCCTGGGTGTAGGGCAGAGAGACGTTTAATAGGCAAGTATAGGTATCAAGAATCCGGTCGAGAAACCAGTCAATTCGGCGTTTTCAAACTATTACGCGAGGTCGGATCGCACTATTATAATATTGTCGTTGTGATTATTACACAAAGACGAATATTATTGTATTATTATTATTATTATCATTGTTATACGAGCGTTACGTGCGTGCCTTAGAATATCCGGAGTATTGTCTTAAAACATCATCCTCGCGTTCTAAATGCGGGGGTGAGGAAGAGAAAGAGGAGATAGGAGTGAGGAGAGAGCGAGTGCGTAGCGTATAATACTGTTTGTGTGAAGCACGTGCTACAAACATATTTCAAGTTAAACGCCCGCCCCGTCCGTCCCGCGAACTCCCGAAATGCGGTCTCTATAACGATTATCGTCTGGCCGCCGCCACCGCGCCGCCGTTTTTACTACACGGGTTTTCCGATTTTAACCGCGGTGCGATTCACGGATTTTCTATATCCGTGAAATAAATAGTTAATATCACTTACGTAAACTGCGTACGTATACGAACGCGATCTATAAGTTTCACGGTCCCATTCGCTGCCAGCCACTATATGCTTCGGGCATGATTTTCTCGACCGTGATTTTTTTATTATCATTCCGGATCGTGCAATTTTGGGATGTTTACCAAAATTCAACGATAATATTTATTCGATATAATAATATGATAATATACATTCCAAAACTCAACAGTTTGGTGGGTGCTCAATATTTTATCGTTCGTTCTTGTTGTATTATTCAACGTTGCCGACCGAATTTCCGTTGGATCCAAAATTCAATTTTACGATTCGAGTTTTCAACTGCATTTTCATTTATTTCGTCCACTGCTGAAAAACGTTGTTCGATTGGATCTCATAAAAATGATATATGGAGGCATAACTAAAAAATAATAATAAAAGACTAATGTAGATGATATAATTACTGCTTTTGATCAAAATTCTTCTGGCAGTGGTGTATATATTCTGTATAGTAACTTTAACTATAGTTTAAAGTTACAAAATAATATGCAAAATCATCTACGTTACTATATTCTCATTTCGTTAATTTTTTCTGTTTGTTTATTTATGTTTACATTAAAATGCATATTGATGAAAACACTTTTCTACATTTTATTTATTTATTTTGTGGAGGGGGGTCGATTAGATCAAACTTCCTCCCCCAATACTCTCATAATTCATGAAAAAATTAAATACAAAATTCTGACTTTGTTATTAATCTAAGGTACTTTTTATATTTGATAACATAGGAAAAATTGTACAATCATGGTTATAGTATTAGAAGATAAGGCTTGAGAGACTAGGATATCAAACGTGACGAGGCAATTTTATTACTTATTTTACCCGTGTATTTATACATTATAACAGAATTCTTACATGCTTGGTAACAAATTGCTTAAGCTTTTAATATTTTATAATTTTATAATCTATTTAATCAATCTGTTGAGCTGTATTAAACAGGTTCATACCTATCTAAAAAACTATTATATAACACTTCTGGAAGATAAATATAACGCATGTTTATTATGTATTAGGTACGTAAACGAAACTCCGTAAAAATGTAGTAGGTACCTTTGTACACTATATATGAGCAGTGGTGTTGATAATTATATGCTAAGTATTCCGTTTAACGTGATACACGGTTGTTCCCGATGAATAAATTTGTTTTTTCATTTACATATATATATATAACATTAAGTATGCCTTTAGTACAACTGTTTTACAAAAAAATAAAAAAAAACAATAAACTATTTTGATCTTTTTTATTCTTAGCACTCGTTAATTTATCTTCTGATTTTATACTTGTTTTTATAGTAACAATAACATACTTAAAAAATGAAAAAATAAATTCATATTCTAAAGTGGAATGATTTTCAGAAATTTTATATAATACTTACATACATAAATATAAACTATAGTTACATTAACCATAAAATGTAATGTCTAAAACATAATAATTTATTCTTATGAAAGTAGATTAGCATACGTGTTTCGATAATAAAATTATCATGTATCAATAAAAAACATCACTTGTCGGAGACGAATTTTTCAAACAACAAATTTCCACTAAAAAAAAAAAATATGTTTACCATAATCTTTGATAGCTTATATTTTTGAGACATACGTATTTTTTTTTTATTATTTAATATTTTGTTAAAACTACAATTATACTATAGGTTCGTATTATTATTTCATGTTTACCTTTTTTAGATTCTGAGCGGAGTGAGTTATTTTTTGATTTTCCCAAGTTTTCCTAATAAATGGAAAAAACCTGAGAAAAACATGAGAAAAAACAGAAAAAACAGGAAAAACCGTAGAAAAAACGGGAAAATTGGTACAATATTAAAAAAATATTATTAAAGAAAATATATTATATATATGTAATTATTTTACCATAATATGATATATATATATATATTTGACAAAGGGACACTATTAACCGAACTTCGCTCAGAATCGTTTTTCGTTAGCAATGGTGAAACATTGCGTACAGATATACATTCAATTTTACCTTTACCTTTTCAACTTTTTACCTATATGATAGTGGCTCACATACGTGCGAAATATGTTCGTCTTTTTTGCTTTAATTTTAGCGTTCGTAAAATATAATATTGTGCCCCGATTTAAAGCCCAGAGTTATTATACATTTTGTGACACAAAAATATTATATCAACATAGATTTTGTTTTCTCGTATGGAAGAGAGACACAATTTAGGCCTTCGGCAATACGATTTTATGTATTCATAATAAATTTCAGCTCCGGTTTGAGAATTTATTTTAACATAATAAACCAATCAATATTATGTTCAGTGTCAATTATTGGCAATGTATAAACAGGATCGATATGCAATGGAAACTTGAATATAGTTGTGTAGTGATCCTTTTTATTGTGTTCGATAGGATCTATTCATGGTAAATTATTATAAATTTAAACTTCATAATCTAATTATATTGAAGTCATGCTAATGAAATCACAACTATTATTAATTAATCCTGGCCCACGCGATGATAGTTTTAACTATCGTGATAAACGCGAAATTTACAAGCAAGATAATAAATATCATAAACTATCGTGAAAACCACTATCATACAATCATGCATGCGTAGTTTTCGATTGTTACTACGGTGAGACCACATACAATTATTATTGTTTTATCTTACGTTTCTATCGAAACTGGCTCTACTGTTGACTATAATAGTTTCTATTGTTATTCTAGTATTCTACTATATCATCTGTATTAATGTGAACTGTCTATGTGATAGTTTATATCGCAATAGTTGCCACGCCAACTATCACGATAGCAACTCTATTACTACACTATAATAATCTGGTTATTGTAAGTTTCAAAGTACATTAATATTTAAATATTTGAATATCTAATGATACTTATACACGATACAATATATGCATGCAATTTACGGTAACTTTAAATATTTGTCTAAATTACGATAATAGTATACACGTTATATTATCAATAAGTGCTTAAACATGTTGTGCAGAGTTCTCGCTTTGGCGACTATTTTAGACGGGCATAAATCGGTATTTTACTTTTATACTTTAAAGTTGAATGATAAATTATTTAAATTTAAAAAAAACGGTTTATAACATAATTATTATTAATTTTTTTTAACGACATTTAAACACGAGTTTTGTGATTTATTTTGCAGTTTTCCGAAAGCATATTTAAACTACCGAAAACCCCGATAAATGTTCTAATTGTGTCTTATTGAGTGCCTTAAGAAAAAGGACACGGTGAAGGCCCAGAAAAATATAGGTAAATGGTGTAAATGTGTATAAAAGTAAATTGGAAAGAGGTGGTACAAGATAGGTGACTTGATATTAAAGCAGAGGCCAAACATTTTAGAGAGCTATGACAGAGAATTAATAATAAACAAAAATGATATTCATACACATCGATATAAATTTAATGAAGCTAAGCAAATTTGTTTAAGGTATCATCTATATACCCAGGCTGAAGAAATTAAATTCGTTAAAAAATGTTTGGTTAGTGAAATAAAGTCATCGCTTATATAAGAGTGTAAAATAATATTTTTATTTTATAAATTATTCAAAGATTATAATATAATAATATGTTTGTATAAACGGTGTAAACTACAAGTGGGTTTTGGAGAAAATGTAAACCATACACATATAATAATATTATACTAGTTGATCCCACACGGCTTCGCTCGTGCACAGTTTTAAAGGATAATATTATACAAAATGGCGTATCTCCTTGTGACGTCTTAATCATAACCATTATCGAAAAAAAAATCATCTACATTGTCAGGGCCGGCTAAAAAATATCGATACCTTGTAAAGTCAATTTTTAATGTTACAAAATAAAACCGTATTTCTCTGTTTTGACTCAATATCTTTAAATGAAATTTCGATCTAGTTACTATAACAATCCAACATTGAACTAAGTTTATATGGTAACTATATAGTGTTCGTTTTGCGTATCCTCGTGACAAATATTGCCATTCCGCGGATTACCTGGTTATTAATGTTTTTGTTTTAACTTTCATCCATATCACCATAGGTGGTACGGATGAAATACGGATTTAACCATAAATCAACAAAAATAATTAGATTTTCGTTCTAAAAATATCAATAACCCCGTATATCACTACCCTTTAGAGTTTGAATGTGGGGAAAAGTGTAGCCTATAATATAATATAACATCTATTAAACATGTTTTAAAATCTAAAAAGAGAACCGTACACAAAAAAAAAAAAAAGCGTTTAGTGAAAACTCTACAATTTGAATAACATGCAATATTATCGCGTCCTCGCCAACGTCGCCGAAATTAAATAGTAAATAAATAACATTATCGTGGGTTACATATTTTAAATGCAAATTGTATTTATATACTTTATTATTTCGGGTGAAGACTGAAGATTCCACATACATTATGTAATTAAAACACACAGGGATGATCATTATTTAATAATAAATATAAATTATAAGTGTCTATAGTTCGTACAGGACGGAAATTATTGCATTAACAAATTATTAATGATAATCAATTCATCGTAAAGAAATTCGAGTGCAATGTAATTTAATTTAATTTATAATGTAATTATTATTATTTCATATTTTTAATATCAAGTGAATATCAAAAATGTCATTATTTTAGTAAGCTTATTTTAAATATTATTTCTAAATTATTAGACATTTATATATATTTATATTTTTAATAGGTACTTATTTTGAAAATTTGATTTAATTACCACGAGTAATATGAAAACTTGCATTTTTGTATTTATAATATTGAATAGAATAATTTATTTTTTAAACAATTAGGTACGAAAATAATAAGCAAAAATTTGATTTTAAAAACGTTTGATGATGAGAATTGTAAGGAAAATATTATATATAAGTACGATAAATTCCCACTTTGTATAAAACGATCTGAAAATTATTTACAAAACGTTAAATAAAATAAAATAATATTTTCATAACTATTTTATAATATTAATAACTAAAATATCAGTATTACGAAGTAATGCATTAATTTAATACTTTGTACCACTGTCTATTATACTGTATTAATTAGTTTTAAATTCTAAAATATGAATTATACACTTAAATGAGTGTAATTAACAATCTGACATACCAAATTATGTATTACTACCTAAGATTTTTGGATATTTTATAACGGTTTTTAATTTTATTTTTAAATGCTCAATGCACTTAATCTCGTAATATGCTTCATTGAATTAAAAATTATTAAAAGTACACACATGTATTCGTTATAAATGATAAAACCTTTTCTTTTTTAATTTTTTATTGAATTTTTCCAAGCTATACATATATTTTATCACAATAAGTAAATGAATCCAAAACGATAAAACTTAAACAAAATTTAACAGATTGTATATAAATCTATGTATTACACGAGCTATGTATAATATATTTTATCTTCCACTATAGCTTAATTATAGACTTGAATGATCTTTTGCTGCGACCGTGCAAAAAAAAAATAATATACAAATTGATGATACGATGATAATGATTTCATTACTTTTAATTTTTTATTCTTTTTTATGTTGTAATTAAGTTAAACATAATTTTAGAGACCCAAATATTTCACAGTATATTTATATTGGTATTTTATAAATGTGATTATGAAGCTATTAATAGATATTTAATATTTTCGAAGTTTTTTTAGTTTTTATTAGCTTTTATATGGACAAAAACTGTTTTGACCTAGCAAAAATGTTTGAAAATCTAACACAAGGTTCATTATAGTTTGAACCAAGTTTATTTAGTATTAAAAAAAAAGTTGTAATGTAATACATCACTTTTTTTTTAAACAGAATCATGCACAACAGAATGTTTCTAAAAAAATGTTTCGTTGCGTATAGATATAAATTAAATAACCCTAAACCTACCTTCTTAATTTGCTACCTAAAATAGTAGTATATCCATGAACAGCCAGATACGTTTATATGATTTCATTTTAGGAAGGCCAATTTTGAAAAATTAGAAAATATCAAAATCATTAACAAAACCAAATGTAAGTTTTATTTAAAAAAAAAAAAAATTGTAAATTTTGGTGGAGCGGACATTCAGGATTCCGTGGTTTTTTCTGGGTATATATCATCGATGTGTATATCAACAGTATCACTTTTTTTTTTTTAATCGATTTAAATCTATCGACTATTAAATATAAATATTAAGTAAAAAAACCGCAATGATATACATCATATTAAAATACTTATAGCAAGTTTTATTTTGTACAAATAATAAAAAGTATATTTTTACCAAGTTTTATGTAAAATGTTCTATTTATTTAATGTAAACGCTTATATAATAGTTATTAATATATTATTATAAATACAGTTTTCGGAATACTTTATTTGTATTAATGTTATAAAACTTTTCTCATTCAAAACTATTTTATTTTAATTCTCACTGGCTTATAAATTATGGATTAATTTAATTTAATAATAAATACATATTTTGAAATATGGACACTTTTGAATAAGTTATATTGGCTTGTTTAGACATTTTTTTTTTTTAAATTTACTAAAATATAATTTAATAAAATTCAAGAGATTTATAATTCATTGTTTTTCAACTAAAACATCATAAGAATAATAATTATTAATTTATTGAATAAATAGTATTTCTTACAGATATCGGGTATGCTAAAGATTCGAAAATATTGTATAAAGTATATAACCTTAAATGACATTTCAACGAAAATTTAGATCAACTATATATTATTTAATCATAGCTGTCTATTAAAACATTGTCATTAAATATGACGAAAAAGTTTTGGTATTTCGTCTCAAACTATATATACTAGACTTAAACCAGAGTGTGAGGCAAGATTAATTGTGTTGTCGAGTATTTTTCGAGTCTCGAAAACTAATAAATAAATAAGACCCTCCAGTCACCGCACGTGATGAGTTTTGGATCGCATCCAAGCTGACAAATACCCACCTACTATATCTTTCTTCGTTCTTAATAATATATCAGAAACTATTCAGCTATATACATACATATACATTCATGGTGGCACGAGATTATATTATATTGATTTTCTATATTAATATATTTCCTAATTTAATAATATTAATGTCATTAAATAATGAGGAAGGTTTTTATAGTAAAATAATATTTAATAACCGTTTGTAATTTGTTTTTAACGGAATTGACATGAAACAATGTACAACATGATTTCATAAAACTTATATTTTTTTAATTTTTATTACTATGATTAAAAATAAAGAAATAATAAAAAAAAAAAAAAAAAAAGAGCTGTTACTGGGAATGGGTGCTGCCACTGTTGTAAGTGGGTAGTAGGAAAGATGGGATACATATATAGTTGTTAATTTATGCCTGTAACCAACGATAAATCGTTGATAACGAAAAACGATTCTGAGCGGAGCTCGATTGATAGTATTACCTTTTCAACAATATACATGTAATATTATAGTTAAATAAATATATATATTGAAACAATTCGTATGGTCCAGTAACTAGATTTGTTCCACATAAACGATTTTCGTCAAAATTTATATTAAAATTCTTATAAAAAAAAAAAAAAAAAAAAAAAACACTACACTAAGTGGATCACTACTTATAATGACCCTACTATTAAATTTTCAATCAATTCTGTTAGGCCTAACAATTTATTTATAGAATACCTACCCAATAAAAATTAAGTAAAAAACTCGAAAATTTAAAATGTCTATAAATATACCATATCTAAAAAAAGGATTTATATAAGTTACATGAAGATTTTTAATCACTACGAATATTTTTAACATAAATAAATTGAAAAAAAATAATTTAAATAAGTAAATTTAAATTACCTACTTAAAGATATATTTTTATAAATTTGTACGTTTTTATCCAATTTTCCAATATAATTACAGGGAAAATCAAAAAACGAATATAACTTACTCATGATCTAAACTAAAAATGCAACAAAAAAGGTCTTTTGTTTTTTATCTATTGGAGTAATATTTATGGTAAAACATAAGCTTTACAAATTTAAAATAATGAAACTGTTATGAATTTGAAAAAAAATCCCACAGTATACTCGTATATTGTTATATTTATAATATACTATCTTAGATAATAATACTAATTGTGGGATGAGTTTGAATTTTCTGTTCCGATATCAATATCCTTTGAATTAACTGTAAAGGTATACTAGTAATAGTTAGTAACTACCTTTAGACTTACTAAATAATCTTAACGAATTAAAATAATAATATAGTAATAATATTATTAATAATAATATTAAAATCCTCATTGGATATATCTATAAATATGAGTTTTGAAATATTGAGGAATTTGATATTTTAAATAATTTGATTATCTTAATATAATAGGTCCTATGCGTCGTATCTAGTCCACTTTGGCACTATTATATACTTATTATAACTATCTTGCTGTTGTAGTTTGTGTGTAGTAGAAGTCAGAGTCCATAAAATCTTGTTCTTCCTCTTCTAGTTTTACCTTCCACATTACTAATAACTTACATTACATAAAAAACTTAATCTATTACTGCATCCGTATAATATTCCATACGATATATTCACAATTTATTTTTGTATGGAGTCCAATGCTGTTTGTGGTTAATACGAGATTTTATTATTTTAAAAAGCTCTTTTCCTTTATCCATTTATCATTTCTAACTATCTCGTTATTAAGCATTATTTGTTCTCTTAAGGTAGAAATATAGATTTGTAGTTGTTCAATAATTTCTCTGTTAAGAATTTATGATATACAATATTTAGCTCTGAAGGTATTAAAAATCTTAATTATCACAATAGTTAATTGTTATATAATATGACTGAGAACAATCTAATTACGTAAACGTTGATGTTTAATCTCTGATTTTTAAGAAATTATGTTTATCATTTTTCAATTAAATAAATTTCCATGAGCATATAGTTATTTAGCAGCATTTATTTGGATAATGAGAAAATTTGTAATTTTCTTTTAAAAGTATTCAAATATAGGTATATTTAATTTTGTATGTTTAGTTGTACAGTATTTTTGTAATTCATTTATTTTTTCACATTGCATTTTAATTTATTTAAACTTAATTTTAAACCAACGACAACAATATGTGTATTATAATGTAATAGTTGTAATAGTTTATTTTTTAATATTATTGCTTTTCTATATAATAATTACTCTACTGATATTATAAATTTAATTGCCGAGAAGAACGAACAGTTAAGACGGTGTTGGGTTTGCACATAATTGTAAAACTAATGATTATTTCTTAGATTTCATTCCAGAATAAAAAAAATATACGTTTTCAGTTAAATTTAACTTCAAAGATAACTGCAGTTTTTAATAATAAATTTTCTTTATTTTATTTTAAATTTAAACGACCATAATATAAATGAATGTAACTATTGTAATATATTGTAATATTATATTAATTGAAAAATAATGAAAATATAAGGTGAGGTTTAATGTGATATGAATAATTATTTATACCTATACATGTACCTACGTGTAAGCGTATATAATTTTAATAATACGTGAAAAATAAATTTAAGTTAAATGTCCGAAGAAAATTAATAGATTTACATATACAAATTTTAGATTCTCCTTAAAAAAATATCCTGCCACGCTTTGTGAAATTACGGAATTTAATTAAGTCGCACCCTGTACATTGACTTCGGGTGATCGGGACGTGACGCAATTTAAACATAAGCTATAAGTTTTTTTTTTTTTTTAACAACCAAATTGTATATCCGGATCCGGAAGGTTACGAAAGTGATTAATGGTTAATATTACTTATAAACAGCTTTGCAGATCTCCCGGGTGTACTTTCGACGGAATGAAGACACAAGTGGCGTGGATAGGATTTCAATATGATCTGGAAGGGAGTAGTGGAGGCCAAACAATTATTAGGTAGTATATAACGATTAGGCATATACAGTAATTTGCATTTTTATAGTTTTACTAGGTACTAAAATTTAAATATTTTCGAAAATTTATTCAGCGTATGAAAAAGAAAATCGCACGAAGGTATGTCCCGATAAAAAGAAAGTCACCCTATCGCGCACATTCGATTTTAATTATTCTTTATAATCATTCGTCTCATTGTCGTATCCAAACGTTCAAAACTCTGATTTGACCACCCACAAGTATCATTGTACCTATACGGCTATACCTTTTATATTGAGGAATTAAAATTCCAGAAAACCCGGAAAATTAAAAAAAGTACTAGAAAATAATTTTTATGTATAATGAAAAAAGTACATGCAAACAGTTTCAACTTGTTTTCAATTTTTCGGGAACAAAAAAAAGTTTCTTAACAAATGAATTTTCTATACACATATACATAAAAAAAAATGATTTCCAGTTTTTCCAGAGATATCTTTGTTTTCTAGAATATTGATCCTTATTCTCACTAATGAATTACTATTCCTGCCTCATCGGTCTTTTCATTATCGTATACGTATAATACACCTTTATATTCACACGCGGTGCCGGTTAATGGATCCGGACCGGGTGTTCCCTCTCCTCCGACAGCAATCCTGGTTTGCTTAAAATATTATATTTTGTGTAACGAACGTTCATTCATCGATTCATTTATAACAAACTGGCGTGTAACGTCGATTGGCACCACTCGGTGTTTTATTTGTTTTAAGATCCCCGGCCGATTACCGCCTGCCCCACCGCTTTACGGCGCGTTTCGTGCACGAGTTCTTCTCGCTCCCGCTGAACCATACGTACGACATTATTATTTTCCGCGACTGCTTTTGACTTCGACCGGGACTTTTGCTCTCGTTTTCGCTACAGCACATTCATAATGCGTAGCTGATTAATGTGCCTGTTTTGTATATGAATATAATATTATATTAACGTTAACGCACGTAAGCCGATTAAATTGCGACAATTGCCCCGCTCTTCATACATCATCCCCCCCGGGAATTCAATGTGATTTTATCCTTTAGGTATACCACGTTTGTATAATGGTACCTAATAATATTATATTTTACAATATCCCTATATATCGTGAATAAAAAACGGTGGTGTATTGATTTTTAAAAATATTGTTTACTGTTCATAATATAGCATTGAAAAACATAAATTGGTAATAGTAAATAGATAAAAATTTTTATTAAAACTAAATAATTTTGAGTACCGATTAAAACGGTTATGTACATAATCGTATTAACTATGTTTTTAACTAAAAAAAATATTTGCTATATAGTAAAAATTTTAGTTGCTCTGACTAAAAAATTATGGATAATATTATATAATACTCCTTTTTTCAACTTTGTGCCAGATACTGATCATTAGGGCCTGAATTTGATGGCCGAAAAATTTTGAAAAAATGCACCAAAACAATATGCATAAAATGTTAAAAATATTTTATTTGAAAAAGAGTTAAAATGCAACAATACCATCAAAAAATGATTTAAAAAAATGAAATGAAAATTAATATTATTTTTATTTAAATTAAAAATATCACGCAAATATAATTCTAAGAATCTTTTATCTTACTTAAAATAAATATTCTTTCTTTTCGATTTTGCTTTCTCGTGTTTCTTATTATTTTACAATTTAAACTGTAAACATGTTATTAATATAATAATCATTGATTACTGTACACCTGACTTCACAGAAATGCTCACGAAAAGTATAAATTTTAGAAAAACTAAACATAATATCTAGTGTTTGGTTCGTCGAATCGTGGAAACGTGAATAACTTAAAAATATGAAATCGTATGTTTTCAAATTTTTCAAATTTAGTTACCAGAGCGTGAATACATGACATATATTTCAACAACTCCCTATATTCGAACAAATTTTCTTTGTGTCAACATTTAGTATATAATTATAGCATGAATTTGCACGAAAATTTGTAGGCTTTATTTTAGATGTTATATCAAAAAAAAAACCCTGAGGGCTGGAGACACGTTTTTCCTTGAGGTTTAAATTAAACTTTCCAAAATTTTTCCGATGGCCATGCAGTTAACATGAATTCGTATGGTTGGTTCCGAAATTTGCACGATATCTTCTTGTAAGTAAATAGATGTTTACAGATTTACGCATTTTACTAGTCCCCTCTTTTATATCGAAAAAACCCCAGAGGGAAAAACTTTTCTTTATTCAATTTTTCTTTTTTCTTTTAATTGGTTGATCTATGGTGATTCTTATTTTCCTGTTAATGGGCATAAGGCTGAGGATTTCAGAGTATATTGCTGCGCTCCCCAACTGCTCCTTATATGTTTATGCATATGTAATAGTCTGTTTTATGTAGTTATTTAAGATTCTGAGCAGAGTGAGGAACGTATTGGTTTTACATTGATGTTTATTATCTTTATTTTTTTATTTTTTCTGAAAGAAAATCTGATTGTGGTAGTCTTTATTTAGGGAGCCATTTTTTTAAATTTTTTTTCCAACTGTTTTAATAAAAAATAAGGATGTTCGATGTTTTCAAATTCTATAGTTCTACATTACGTTTAATTTGTGATATCGTATGCTTCTGGTTTTCTCAAATGAAAAGGATATATTATTTGGGTTTT